GTCTCCATCAAAATTTGCTATATTTTACTTGAATATATGTTACTTAAGAGGGTTCTTTGTGAAGTAACTTGTAGTAAAAATGGAATGTTCACTATATATTAGTCCTTTGTCTCCAAATTTACCATCATTTTATGTCTGCATCTGTTTATCATCACTTTATCCCTAGTTTACCATTACACAGCCATGGCCGGTCGTGGCTAGGCAAACCGTGGCCTTAGTCTCTTTTTCGTATGGTTACTATTTTCTATTTATATACATTGAATATTTTTATAGTTCTTATACCCTCAGAGAATGCCAGAAGTTAAATTCTGCATATGTCATATGGTTACTATTTCTACTGCTACTAAAAAATATATATAAATCCTACATATGAGGCATATATAGACCAGCAAAACAAAACAAGCATAAAACTTTGAGGCAATGGGCCCTTATGAGGGAGCCTATTGTTTTTGTACTCTGATGTGGGGTTGTTTCCGTGATGCAGACCAAAAAAACAAGCTCAATAGAATATGCTGGCTCTTTGATAATTTTGATTTTAGTTGAGAAAATCTTAACTGCTCCGTTTGAAAATCATGAAGCAGACAAGAAGTTACAAGAATTTGGTTGCAGAAAATGCGGATTTACATGTGAATATTAGAGATAAATTTTGTTGGTACATCATGAATTCAAAATTTGTTTTTAAAGACTTTCTGTAGGAGGAGTAGGTACTCAAAAAACCACGCAGCTGTTTTGATCATTTTTCTTGTTTTTATGTGTACATGAATTGATCCCCAAGTTTTGATGGGGGTTTTATCTACCAGTCATCTTCTTGGTCCTCAAACTTTGACATTAATTTCAACTTGGGTTGTTCTGAAACTTTAAGTATTTTTAATAATATTAAATGGTTCATGGAGCTTTCAAGCATAAAGTTTACTACTTGTCAAATTTTTTCACATAGACTAGACCTTAGCTCCACACGTGAGTGGATCATATTAAGATTCAAAAACAAACAAAACTCTCTCTCACCAAATCCCAATAGTTACATAGACATGATGCAATAATTACCTCATTAGTTTAAAACTATAATTTTGAAGGGTTGAAATTCAGTGTAGATGATAAATTATTAGGGTGTTGTTGGAACTTGGAAGAAAGTGACTGTAGCTAGAAAATGAAAAAACTGCAGAGCAGCTAGTAGATCTCCATTTTTGGAGTTTTTGTTTTGACAAGTACTGCTGGGAATCTCCTACATTTTTCACCTACAAGTGCTAGCCTGTTATTATTTTCCAGCTGAAGAGCTCTGGGATTAAATAGAAATGAGAAAAGGAAAGATTTTTAAAATAGTAGGTGGAAAAGGGAAGAATGGTCTTCCACAGAATGACATCTGCAATGTCCTTTTCCTTGCTCTTGCCTGCCTCTCTCTCTCTCTCTCTCTCTCTCTCTCTCTCTCTCTCTCTCATGATTATATATCAGTCTTTAAAAGCCTTCCTACAACTTCCACATTTCTTCACCATTCAAAAACCAAAACCAAAACCCAGCTCATTCATCCAACCGCATTTTTGGCTTTGCTTCTCTAGAAGTAGCACATTTTCTCTAGTGCTTCTTTCTACTTGTAACTCTACCGTGCCAATGTCCACCTCCAAAACCTCAGATAAACCCTTTAAAGCTTATGAGCAGGACCAGGCACAGATGGGTTTTGCTTCTGTGCTTCAGAGGAACACAACTCCCTCTCAGTCTGGTGAGAGAAGGGGCCGAAGAAAGCAAGCAGAGCCAGGGAGGTTTCTTGGGGTGAGGAGAAGGCCTTGGGGAAGATATGCTGCTGAAATTCGAGACCCTAGCACTAAAGAAAGGCACTGGCTTGGCACATTTGACACTGCTCAAGAAGCAGCTCTGGCTTATGACAGAGCTGCTCTGTCCATGAAAGGCTCACAAGCAAGAACCAACTTCATTTATTCTGACAACACCACTTTTCACTCTCTCCTAACACCCTTTGATCTCCAAACCCTTTTACCACAACAATCACAGTTTCTCTCAGCTGTCAAACAACAACCCACCAATCACAACAGTCCACCTCGTCAGTCTGGCATTTTTCAGAATGATCAAACTCAAAACCCCAATATCAGGTCCAATAACATTAACACATGTGGAGCTGAAACCTCTCATGGTTCATCTGCACATGATGGGGATGATGATGGTTTCTTTTTCTCCAATGGTTCTAATTCTAACTCAGGCTACTTGGCCTGCATAGTTCCTGACAACTGCTTGAGGCCTCCTTCTGAATCTGATCATCATGCCACTAATCACAGAAGCTCCAAAACCAGTGACTTTAATATTGATCAAGATTGTAGCTTTGCGAACACTAACTCCATTGAAACCAAATCACATTGTCTAGATGTTATGAATGTGCAAGCTGCATTAATGGCTTCTAACACTAACCCTCCTGGAGATCAGCTTCCTAGCTTTGATGGATTCAGCCATGGATTCTGGGACAACCAGCAGCCAATATGGGAGTTGCATTCAAGAGAGCTGTCTGCAGCCATGGTGGACAATCCATTCATGATTGAAGATGGATGCATGGGAGGAGAAGGTTTGTATCCGATCATCGAAAATTCTAGTTTTGGCTTAATACCTCAGGCAACTACTTCTTCTTCTTCTTCATTCTCTTGCTCTCCATCAGTTCCTCCTTTTGGTGATGCAGTCTTTGAGTTTGGCCAGTCACTCTTTTGATTAACTTTTGGTGGGTGCATCCATGGATTATCAAGTGAATTTGATTTATGTGCATGCACTCTTTTTTGTTTTCTTTTTTGTGTCTTGGGTTTTTTCTTCCCTTCTTCTTGCAACTCTTTCTTTCATTGTAACTACCCTAAAAAACCTCCATTGGAGCCATTTGAGGAGGAGATTTAGATCAATGTTTACTATGGCTCTTACAAGTTTTAATGGAAATTGTTTGAAAGAAATCTAGTACTACTTTATGAAGTCTTTGTCACATGTATCTTTTGCACCCATTTCATAATACTGCCTATAGCTTAGCTCTTTATGGGGTCGGCATATATAATAGATGCATTATGTGTCTACCTTTACGGCTATTTGCCTCACCTTTTACTGACAACGTAGCCTAAAAACAATAGATGCATGCAACTTATAATTTAGATGCACAAACACAGATGGACCACTAATTGCAAAAGTATTAGTGCTTTGCAATAACGCTTCTCTTTATTTACTTTCTGTTTGGTCCATAGTTTTGGTTCAATTAATGATGGGGTAAAATATGTAGGACCAAAGTTAAGGAAGCGTCTTATAGTTTGCGTAGTTAGAAATATGTACTTCTGCACTCGAGATCCCTTTTACTCTAATTTCATTTGTATTAAAAAAAACCTTTATACTATTTAAGAACTTTGGAAGATTAAGGAGACCAGGGTGACTAAAGAATTTATGCAAGTAAAAGGGGAACACAAGGCTTCTGAAAATGTTGGAGGTTCTTCTACACTTGAAGATTAAAGTAGGATAAGCACTTCATTTCAGTGTTATTTTTGTCCCTTTGTCTTTCTTTTTAAGGATGCCTTGAGCACTACTAGTTTGCAAAGCAATGAGATCCATTAATTTTGCCAACATAGTTCATTGCCTTCAAACCTGGATTCATCTTGTCTTCTTGTCGGTCATGCCATGAAATAAATCAGACTACGGAAAATGTGACTCAATAGCACATATATGGTGGGAAGAGGTTGTGACTTCAGTTTCTTTTCCGCAACTTGATAGGTAATAAAGTTATTATGGGCAATGTAATAGTGTGAATTTTGTTGGAAGGGAGAAAAGACATCACAAGAAAATTGGAAATAATGGGTATTATGGGAAATTCCAGCATAAACCCTATAATATATTTTCCTTGGGAATATCTTCTTCTCCAACATATGGTACTTGGGCAAATCTTTGGGAGGGGTGAAGATATGACCAAAGCCATAAAGTTCCTAAACTACCGCACATCCCATCAATTTCAATTCCACTCCATGTTTAGGATGGAAAGAAATTAAAAGGCAGGAGTTGTACCCTTCAATGGCAGAAAAACTTGTGTCAACATTGTTTTGCTATTCTTAACCAATCACAGACTGCTATCATACCAATCACAGACTGCTATCACGCATGGCATGCCGTGATTGGCTTTCACACAAGTGTTTCTCGTTCAATGGACCAAGTTTTGCATACAACGGTTTTTAATATTAAATAAATGGATGAAAAAAATTTCCAATTAGCCAAAAAGGTTCATCTTCAAGCCATGGTGCCATATATCATCACACTGGAATGATTTGGCATGTATACAATACAAGCAATCTACAGGAAAGTAAGAGATATCAAGGAAGAGAGAGATTATTACACAGTCGAGAGTGGTACTTTCATATATTTTGTATTTCATAATAAATATATGAATAACATGGTCAAGCATTTCAATTGACTGACACAAAATAACTATGTATCTGATCCCACATAAAAGTAAGCATTGTGATATGCCTCCTTGGGTCTTTAGTTTACTTCTCTTTCTCAAAATAGACCTTGGACAAAAAGTGGGGGAACAAGCATTCAAATTTCAAAGTTTAAGTGAAAGCTTGTTCCCCAATTTAAAAGAAAATTCAGAAAGGATAGACATGAATTACACACGGTCAATCTAAAAGCGAGAACACCGTGGAACTAATCTTTTCGTTCTGGAAAAGGCCACAAATGAACATAACACACTCCAAAATTGGAGAGCTGGACACAGATTTGCCTAACGGAACTGCAAATTCTTTCACGGTTATTGAAGAGAAAAGTGGAAGACTATATGGGGTTTGCTAAACTTTTGGAGCTTGGCCATGGCTTATTCAAGATAAAAGGGGAGGCCATATAAAGATGATATAGACACAAAGATGAACATGACTGATGTATGCTAAGCCAGTGAGATATGAAGCCTCTATTGGAGGACTTGAAAAAAGAAAAAATGATGCTTTGGGAGAAAGTTGATCAAAAAGGAAGAATGAAAAATTGCTTGGCATTGCTTAGCTTGGACTATGAGACTCTGTACTGCTGCCACTGCTAGTTGAAGGGCCAGAACCCTGAGCAGACTGTTGAACACCCAAATGGGTAATACCACCCTTAGAAACAGTTGAACCAACTGATCCACTAGAAGTGCTCAGTGATGAAGACATTCTGGCTGAAACTAAGTCCTTTCCAGAGCCTGAATTAAGCTCAGGCCGCAATTCTGTGGATGAGGATGAGGATGATGGGGCTAGCGTACCAATTGATGATCCCACTGGGTACGGTGCAACTGGCATATCAGCAAGAGAAGACGCTGATGGGCTGTAACTGAGTGTTCCCATTGGATGGTCGAATTTGCATGCAGGCCCAAACTTGCATACTCCTCGTTGTGCATAGTGAGTGCAAAGTGGTGCACCCTGATTATCACATAGAATTTCAAATTCACAGCAGAAAAACGAGCAAGTGAGAGAGACAGAGAGAGAGAGAGAAGTGCATAAATGACCAAGAAAGCATTCACAGTACAAGAAAGCACAAAAAAGAATATTGAACATAAATATAATGCTAAGAAAGACGGCCAGCAGATTGAGTTAAAAATGCAGAGGACAAGCAGATTTTACAGCCAATATCACCAAGAAGCAACCAAGAAAAGAGAGACTTAAATGCAAGGAAAAGTAAGGAAACCCAAAAGACTGGAAAAAATAACCCTGAGAAAGTGATGCTCCCTAAAGTGGACCCTAGGTCCAAACAATCATCATCATCCAGATAGCCCTAACTTACACATTTTTCCAACAAAATAACAAACCATCTATCAAGCGGCAAAGATTATGTTTCAGCGCATATTTCAGACAGATATTAAGTGCTGCTGTGTAAAAAATATTCTTCCACTGGTAAATATATCTAGATGTTTTCCTTGGGGAATTCCAACAGTTTCTCTAGTTTCAATTTGGAAACATCTACAATCTTCCAAAGAAACCTAACAGTCCATATATGACATATTTTCACGAAGCACATGAGGATGACGAAACCTCAACAAGCTAGAAGAATAAAACATTCCTGAATAAGAGAGAGAGGCTGAGAGAGAGTTTGAAAGATCATTCACTAGTAAATTACAGTTTTAAGTAAGAACACATTGATGGTTCATGCCCTAGTAAAAGCCTACATGGGATTTGTAAGGGCGGCTCACCGGGCGCGAAGGAAGACCACTGGGGTTGAGGGCAACAGTTGTTTTTGGTCCAACAACTTCTGGTGGGTGATGATATCTACATGAGGACCCAAATTTACAATCCCCTGTTCTCATGTAATACTGACATTCTGGTTGACCAGGTCTTTCAGGAAATAAGTGCTCCTTCTGGCTGGTGGTTGGAAGACCAAGAGAAGAAGGTAAAGGTATAGGCTGATACATTCCTGTATATGCAGCTGCTGAAGGAGATAGTTGACTCATCCCATAAAGTGTCCCAGAACCAACACCAGGTTGAGTACTAGGAGAGGGCAATGCGCTTGCAGGTGCCTGCATCACATGGCTAACAGCTTAATGGAAATCCATGCAATTTAAAAGATAATGGAGCAGCAAACATTTCTTACCTGATATGGACTCCAACCTGGAAAAGGAATTGTGCCAGGGGAAAGCAGGACTTGACCATAGGGGCTTTGAACATATGAACCCGGTAGCAAAGGAGGCCTTGCAAATACTACTCCATATTGTTGCGATGAAACAGATGGAGATTGCACAGTTTGATACAATGGTGCAGCAGGTACAGGTGAAACTTGAGGGGCTGGTGATGGCACTGGAAGTGGTATGCCAGCTGGCTGTGGATGATGGAATTTACAAGTTGCACCAAACTTACACTGTCCAGTTTTCACATAGTAGGAACACTCTCTTTCACCCTGTTTTATTTGCAACATGATGGCAATATTTTACCTCACAGTCATGAAATGGGATTTACAGTATGACCAAAAAAAAAATTTAAGAATTGAAGTTAAAATTTAAGAAATACAGACCTGTCGTAATGGGTATCCATAATAATTTAGAGATACAGGGCTACTAGAGCTTCCACCCTGCTTAGGATGGTGGTACTTACAAGAAGCGCCAAATTTGCAAGTCCCTGTCCTCATATAGTACTGCCATCAAAGAATCACAGCACAATCAAACAAAGGGGATTCACAAACTTTCAAGGATTATCCAACAGATAAAGCATGTAATCATCTTTAGATGACGGTCCTCCGTCCAGAATGGATACGAATGGAAGCTGAATATGTGATCTTCCAGAACTAAGCAGATGTATACCACTCCATGGTAGCATTTTGAGCTAAACCCCTATTTTCAGAACCAATTAGAAAAACCAAGTGAAGTACCTGGCACACAGGCTGGCCCGCTCGCTCTGGGTACTCCAATCCTCCAGGTCTCGCAGCTCCCGTAACCTGAGAGATATACATCTTTCAACCTTAACTAGTAAACAGGTAATAATATCAACACCAACCATATAGATCTTAACAAATATACCCAGAAAAAGAGAAATTACAACTTTCTCCACAATGACTTAAATTCAATGAATTCAGAACAATCCCATCAACGAAATTGCTTAAAAATCATAAAATTCATCATCAAATCTGCATACAAAACCACAATACCAATACTAAAAGACAAGATCAAACCAAATTGGACCCAGAAAACCAAATTATCACGGTGGCAATCAATCAAAACCATCCAAATAAGCCCCAAATTCAACCCATTGAAGTAGTAAAAAAGGGTAATTCAATAAAATTACCGCACTACGATCACGAGGATGATTGTACCGACACCGGGAGCCGTACCCACAAATCCCAGTCCTCAAGTAGTAACTACAATCGGTCTCGTTGGGTCGTTCAGGGTACGATTCCCCGGGTCCTAGCCCCAACTGCCACATGGACTCTGCATTTTGGCAAACACGAAAAGATCAAACCCAATTGCGAAACCGGCCACATTCGTTCCAAACCCACCAAATCGCAATCCCCAAAACCCGAAATTCGATCGAAATTGAAATGAAATTGAAATGCAGAGTGGTTTTGGACAGAGAAAGCTCTCACCTTCCAGCCCTGTTTCCGGTCCCGGAACAGTCCACTCGGGCGACGGATCGGACTGTGACCCGTCTGTGGTCCGACCGTACCGCTCCATTGTACGGTCACACTGAATCACTTGGATTCTTCACTAAACAATCTTGATGCTTCTACAATCTCTCTCTCTCTCTCTCTCTCTCTCTCTCTCTCTCTCTCTCTCTCTCTCTCTCTCTCCTCCTTGATTGTGAGAGAGGTTGTGATCAAATGGGGTTATCAAAGAGAGGAAAATATGTAAAGGGTTTGGATTTTCAGGGCTGCCCTCTCTCTCTCTCTCTCTCTTCTCTCTCACACATACAAAACACTGTGTATGTCCCTCTCTCTGTTTTGGTTTTGGTTTGGTTTTGGATTTCTCTCTCTCTACTATCAGTTTTCAAAGCGTTTTTTGGTTTTGATCTCTTACTTTTCTCCTCTTCCTTAACTTTGAGAGGTTCTTTTTTTATTTATTTATTTTATTTAATTATTTAATTTAATTTATTATGGGTCTCCCTTAGTCCGTTGGTTTATATACGCGCCAAACCTAAAACAAAATTACCCACCATTATTTCTTTTTCCCTTTTTTAAAAATATAAAATAAAATATCTTTATCTATATATAAAAAAACCAAAAAAAAAAAAAAAAAAAAAAAAAAAACAAAAAAACAAAAACAAACAAAATGTGAGATATAGCCATGCCAGAAAGAAGAAGAGGGGTGGTGGCGATGATATGAGAAATGACGGAATTGCCCCTTCATTTTAACATGTGACTAAAATAGGACCATGCAGTGTGGGAATATGACGCAGACACAGAGAGACAGAGTTGTCCTTTTGCCAATAAGATTTTATTACAGTCTACGCTGCAGACAGTTAATGATGTGATTAAACTAATCCTCTGCAAACAAAGTACAATGCAAAGGTAACAAAATAAAAATAATAATAATTAAGGTTGTGAATGTTAATGTTAGGAGGACAGATGCTCATGCTGTCTGGCCAACGTGGCACTGGTAAGAAAGATCCAAACCTTAAATTTGGTTTAAAACTAAAAGGAAGGTTACAAAGCACAAACACTAGTACAATTGAGTGGGAGTTGAGGCTTTGTTCCCACCTCCACCACCACTCTCCTCTAAGTCAATAATTCTTTCTTCTTTTTACTTTTTACTTTTTATTTTTAAGAAAAAAGGCAACAAAAACTTCACAAATTAAAAATCTGGCATGTCATATGTCTGATAGCAATTCAAATTTATGTCAAACTTGTTCGTGTGGTATATAACTTTAAATCAGTTTTAATTTCCGTGTAATACACTAAATTCAATATGTTAAGGACATTCATCGTGGTTGTCTTCAAAATTTCAAATCAATTAGGTATCTTAAAAATGACGACGAGGTAAGACGACAAATTTGCTTTATTGCTATGACGTCCACCTAAAATGAACAATCCAACTTGGCACATTGCACTACAACATAACACGTTTTATCTCGTTACGCAACACCACTCAGATTATTAGCGTGGACCACTTACAACGGTGACACTCTCCATTTGTCTTGTTTATATGATTTTTTAAAAGAAATGAAAGAAGCTTTTAAGAGAGTGCTGACAACATTCTTCTTGGATTTTACCATATTGACATCATATTCATGTTTATACACTTTTAACAAAAAGTGAAATATAACATGCTCTAACTCGTTACGCAACACCACTTAAATCATTAGCGTGGACAACAAGCAGCATTGACACTGTTTGTATGTCTTGTTTATACACTCTCTAAAAGAACTCAAAGAAACTTTTAAGAGAGTGCTAACAACATTCTTCTTAAATTTTACCATATTGACATCATATCCATGTTTATACACTCTTTAACATAAGTTAAAGAAAATCTCTTTAAAAGGAGTGAAATATGCACCTTTTAAAAGAAGTGAAATGAGCTTTTTAAGAGAGCGATGTCAATATTCTCCTTAAATTTCATCATATCGACATCATATTCATGTTTATATGTTCTTTAAAAGAAGTGAAATACGCGCATTTCAAAAGAAGTGAAATGCGCGCATTTCAAAAGAAGCAAAAACAACTTTTAAGTGCACTTAAAACATTCTTCTCGAATTTCACCATATTGACATTATATCTACGTTAATTTTTTATTTGGAAAATGTATTAAAGAAAAATCCCTATAATTTGGATTACACCACAAATTATTTGATCTTCACATGTAAATATCGTTCTTTATTGTTTGTCGAACTAAACATTATACACGTCAAAATTGCAAACAATTTGTAGGATCCAATCATAAGTCGACACGCATGCATTAAGGACCTCACTGCAATCTTCACACGGGTTAAAAGCATTGTGTGTGAGTGAGACGCGGTTACTCGGATGAGATCGACGGGCGAGATCCGTTGCGGTGAAGTGGATGGCTGGGATGCGAGTGACGTCAGCGTGTGTTTGAAGTGGTGATGCTGGGAGTAGGTGAGAGGGGGGGGTTTCATAAATGCATAATTATTCAGTACAGCAGGTAAAACCTGTGACCGGTTGCACCCGGTTGGCGCAAAAGGATGATTGGGGCTGAAGGAACCGGATGGGGCGGTGATCAGGGTGGAAAGTGGGGTAGTTTTGACTTGGACAAGAGTTGGCCACAAGTGGCACTTTTTAAGATTTGGTGCAATGGCTCTGATTTGGACTATAGCAATCGTATCTTATCAAACCAAATGTCGGCGAGCAGCTCTGCGTGATTTTTATTTTTAATTTTTAATTTCCTTAAATTCTAAATATTTTTGTGGGCCCAAGGCTTTCTGTGATTTTGCGGTGGGCTTTATTGATCCACGAATTTGCTTTTTTTGTTTTTGTTTTTGTTTTTATGGATACTGGGCTGACACAATTCTCTAGCATCCATAAATAGGTTTCAATTTCGGACCAAAAATGGAAAAAGGGTTTCTTTTTGTTGCCACAACTGGTTGGTTGGTTTTTTGCAGGGTGAGGGTTGCTTTCTCTTTTCTTTTCTTTTTTGGATGCAGAAAAACATCAAAAGTTCAGATCCCCTTAATACCATACATATCCGAATACACATCAACAGGAAAATTATAAAACCAAATCCATGAATTGGTGTAAAAAGTGTCCTCTTTTCGCTAATTGATCCGCTATTTATATTTGCCTCCCTATAAACGAGACGAATGGAAACTTAAGAAAACTTGCACAATAATTGACATATCTCTTCTGTTCTAAATGTTATCTCTCTTAAAACTTGCACAATAGAAGTTTTAAGAGAATTTCAGTTATTGCTAAACTAAAATTTCAGTCTTTGTTGTATTCTAAAAGTGGGTTGTCTAAGAACTGTTAGCAAACTCATCAATGAGTAGGGGACAAATATCACTTTAGGAAAAACGTATTAACGTGACTCAAAGTCAAATTTTCTGTTTACTCTCAATCCAATTTCTAACCTCTTCTGCAACAGTCTTCAGACTCCATGGTAATTGTGCCTTTTTGGAAATGATTTGGATAAGTGTCTTGGAATCACCCTCAATGTCTATTCTGGATAGCTTCAGCCTGTTTGCCCAAATTCAAGCATGTTTAAGAGCAGTTGCCTCAGCTTGTAAATTGCAGGGTTGCTTTCTATTCAATGCCAACATTCTACATTCATTTTTCTTCTTTGTTTAAATTTTTATTGTATTTTCCTCTGGTCTTTAAATTTTAAAAATGCACACATAAGCTATAGATTATCGTAGTATTGGTTAAATTATTTAACATTGTTGATGCTAAAAAATGATAAGACACTTTTGGGCTCAACTTAGTGAATAAGTACAGAGTGAATAGTGCTCTAGACATAATAATGTCTGAATTGCTGAATGTCGCAATTACCTCATTTTGGGTACTTGTGCCCTTATTTATAGACTTTGGGAAACGTGCATTTTGAGTAGAATTTCGATGTGGGACTGTGAGCATTGCTTGAAGAGGTGTCATGTGTAACTATGAGAAATTCCTAATGAAGTGCGTCTTTTGCTATGATCGGCAGTCTATGGTGTCAAAGGCTCCCATCCTACCAATGGTCCTTCATGGGGTGCGACTAATTTCCAGTTTTAGCGGGTCCTTCTCGTGGGTCCCTTATTCCACATGTCGTCTTATGATTGACCGGTCATATATGGTATAGACAAACATAACATTACTGTGATAAAACAAGTAGCGCATGATCACTTCTTTAGAAATATAATATGATGATAGCATATTCTAAGAGCATCCGCAACGATTTGTTAGGGACTATCATATTCAAATTGCAATTCTCTGATAATATATTTTTTTGTTTGCCAAAACTTGGACAGTAAGTTACATTTGTAGGAAGAACCATACAAATACTACTTAGAACATGAATGCATTACACAGAATTTAAAATTACAATGAAAATACACACTTCTTTTATACTGCTAAGATTTGATTAAACAATATCAATTTAGCTATAAAATTAATTAATTAATTAATTAAAACAACCCGCAATTCCAATGAAAAGTTATGAAATATTCTTTCAGGCCGGCCGTGTAAGCAGTTGGAAAAAGAAAACCATAATTTCCAGTATTGTTCATGAGTCTTCAGAAAGTACACACCACAACAATTATCACAGAGCCCATCCACCTCAATTACTGTGAAATTCATTGTCTAAGGGTGCAGTGACACTTGAAAACTCAGAAGAGTCGTAGCATACATACATACCCAAAACATTTGAATGATCAACTTGATCAACATCTAATTCTTTATTAAGAAAAGAGGCTTTGTCAACTTTCGTTAAAAGTGCTCTTTATGTTACTGTTTTACTAGTATTACCTTCTTTGTTTAAAAAAGCAAAAAAATAGAAGCGAAATATATTTAGGCCTTATAACAAAATATCACTTTACTTTTTGAGTGGGAGATATTTTCGCACATATCCACTTATGTATCGTCCAACATTTTTCATGCATTATTTGGGCAATATATCGCTATAATCTCGCGATATGAAACCGTAAAATGCATGAAAAATGTTGAAAAGTCTCACTCTTGAGCATAGAGGGATTCGAACCCCTCCCTTTCTCAATCAACCACATCGCCTTATCCAACTCGCTGCGGCTG